ATAGAGGGATTTAACTTTTGAGGACTGGAATTTATGGGATGATTGTACCTAACACCAACGGAGTCATTCACTTCCTTACGACCAGACACAAAACAGACGCCACGCAACCGCGCGCGTCAATGGGGTGGGCCACTCATTAAATATACAGTCGTTTAAGGTTTTCACCGCCGAACTTCGACTCGTCACTGAACGCTAGCGGTCCGGCGAGCATGCTACCGAAGCTCGGTCCTCCAACTGTACCACCGCTGCAGCTCAACCACTACCAGAACGGTTCCTTGGTGAGTGGTTTGCATTTTCTCGGGGAAAGGCTATTCTTGAATTCTGCGGCAGTTACTTTACTGGTAACCTAACTGAGCTATTTATGCTAGCTGTTTTGTCAGATACAAACAACCCAGGAGAATATGGTTTTTGCGTGAAGCCGCGAGGGTACTTCAATCGAGTTGACTCACTCATCGGGTTTTCATCTAAACTTCATGACTCTGCCCATGTGAAAATACATGGGGACGATTGTAAGAGAAAGAAATCCACCTGAATGGTTTTTTCATTGGCACCGCGCACAAAAAATGAAGTCTTTCTGTCACACTCGTGAAGGAGAAGGGTCAGGGTGTCAGTTTTGGTGAACACAGCGCCCCTTGATTTCAGTGCACGATGCCTTTAAGTAGGCCTCGTTAGTTGCTACATGACTCGTTTTTATTGGCGAACCGGTCATTGGAGTGGTGTTCGAAAACGTTTATAGCAGCTTTGCAGAGCATCTTAAAATTACTTCTTAATGGCCGTCGCGATCTTCGGCCGGTATATTTGGCGCGGCGACGTGTCGTTTTACGAGTCGGTCTTCCTTATTCGATAACGACGAACCTTCGCGTGCTAGCAGTGCGATAGCGAATATCAGTGGACAACTATCGGGGAACTCATTACCCGCTGACCGTGGAGAGTTGTGGAAAAAGGCCCCGTCTGGCCGAGTTGTGGGAGCTAACGGTTAGGATGAAAAGTGATCAAAAAACCTTCAATCAGGTACTTACCACACACCAGTTCGAAGGAAAGCTATTGACCCGCAGTAGGGCTTTCGAAATAATTTAGGCAACCATTTGCTCGGCTGTGGGAGGTGACGGACAGACTAGAATGACCCATGTAAAAAACCTGGTGTGTGGACGAGTTCCAGCGACTCCTTTACAGATAGTGTGGAAACAAATTTTCACACCTCATTTTTTTGCAAATGAGGTACTGTAGCTACAAAGCGAAGGCGCAATGGTCGGGAGGGGCCTGTGAGAAAAGTCATCTAGGACTAAGCCTAAACAGCAGGGACGAACTCCGGAGAATACGAAAATTGCTTCCGTACACCGGAGTTCCTCTCCTCTTCAAAAGCTTAGTCCTAAAACGGAGCGTTTCCGTGATTTTGACGCGATGTTGCGAGGTGCCCCCCCCGAGCCACATTGCGCCAAAGGCGGAATTTGAGACGAGAAAAAACTGAGCGGAATTCAATTGAAGCGATTCCAAAACATTGTGGTGTGAAATAGCAAAGATTGCTAGCTGCGTGCCTGTATCTATAGTTACTTCATCCGACTCAGTATGGAAATAGGGATCTATACGTGACCCTCCCTTTGCAAAAAACGAGAGAGCGTCGGTGCAGCATACATCAAAGTGCTGAGGACGGCCGCCACAAAATTGTAAATGTTAGTCTGCCCAATGAAAATGGTTCGGCCTTGTGAGTTGTCTCTATCAGTGCGTGATAAAGGACACGGTAGTTGCAGAATCAGGCTATCGCTTATGAACCAAACTAACCAGATTAACGTTGAAGGCGTCGTCGCTTGATGGTAGGGGATGGTACTGCACCCGAGTCTTTCTCGTGTTTTGGAAGCAGAGGGTAAGGAGTGTACGGGTACTGAGTGGTGATATACGCTGTATTAAGGAAGCGACTTTTTCGCGTTTCGCAGCGCGAAACATTTTCGCTGCGGGAACCTCAGGTCCACTGATGATCAGCGTGGACCTGAGGTTCCCGCAGCGAAAAATGTTTCGCGCTGCGAAACGCGAAAAAGTCGCTTTCTGTCCTAGCGAACAACACCCACGAGTTTCCCTGGCTACTTGTTCTGACTAACGGAGGAAAGAGAAGATTGCTAGACATCATGGCTCCGTGAAGTCTACAGTAATTCACCACAATAACTCCGTTTCGTTACAGTAATTCCTTGCGTCATATTTGCTGCCAGTACGGCAGCTCCAGGCAACTTAACATTTTCAGTCAACGAAAATAGCCGAGTAGCTGCGAACACGCTTATCAGTCGACGTTCGCTTATCAATCCATTGACAAGTTTGAGATTCCAAACAATTACTGAAGAGCCGCGACAAGATCGGGGCTATTTTATGCATTCGAGAAGCATCGTGCCGAGCGCTCCGCTGAAGTGCTGTGATAAACTCCGCCATGTGGTTCACAATGTCTCTTGCAGCTTTGCAAATCCAAGCGGGCGAATCACACAAGGTCTAGGACGAGTTTGTTGGGGGTGTTCGTCTTTGTCGCCGCGTCGTCGCTATCCACCCCCTCACCAGCCATTATCAGTAGTCAGCACTTCTACGAACGAAAACGTGCCATTCCTAATTTTGAACTTGAAAACCCAGCAGAAGCGCCTATATGGAGTGATAAAAGGCGCAAATACTGGGGATCAGGATGGTGGAGCGATCAATGCTGTCATATTCGGTACCAATAGATCAGTCGCTGTCTGAATGCGCCATGCATACGACTCTCCCATCATGAAGTGGCTACACATTCCGTGAATCGGAAGAAGCACAACCTCCTATCACGATGGGCTTACACCCAATTGGAAAAATGTAAATTTCGATTCAAGGAGGGGGAAAATTGAGAAGCGAGAACTTTCCATAGAGCACCTTGAATTTGCAAATTGAAAATTCAATCTTATTAAACCGTGCACTTCGCTCCATAATTGAATTGCACTATTTTTTCAACTGCTTTTCGTGCTAAAACACAGTTCGAAGCATTTAAGCTGATATGGTTATCTTATCACTTGTCAACTGTCAATGAGCACAGCTATCTTTTCGCTGTGAAAAGCATGAGCGTCTTTGCAAGCATCGGTGGCAGCGACGGGGGAGTTCTGTCGACTGGAAGGGTAGACGAAACGAGATAACGGCCAGGACGTGTCGGCGATGAATTGGAAATGTGAACGCAGCTACTTGATGACGATGTACGGGCAGAAAACACTTCAGGAACAGAAGCGTTTTTGGTGAGCCAGCGAGCCGCGAATGAGTCATCCTCACCCGGGGTGTTTGGGCGTTTTTGGCCAAATCTGACCACGCCAGCCTCCATTAAAGCACGTCTGCGTAGCCTTACTTTCAGGGTTTCGGTAAAGCCACTGTGAAGACAGAACAGGAGGCTTTCTGGTCAGAAGCTGCGACACCCACGGCGGTGAACAGATTCTGGAAACTTACCTTGCGCCACTCCTACCCGTCCTTTCATACTGCTCTGAATTACAGCACTCGTTCTGCTCTCTACTCTCCGGTTATCCATGGCGGAATTCCAGCGTACGGGAAGCTCCCTAGGGCCCTCGGCGGAGACATCACCGGCGGCAACGGTTGCATTGACGGGGCAGCCAACTGTTGAGACTGGAAATGAAAGGGCATTTTTGAGCTTATTACCCTGAAAAAAAGTAGAGTCCCCGAAATGGAATCCAAACAAACAAGACACTTCTATAAGCCCGCAGTTGCTCAGCTACTCACTCACCAAAGCTTATCAGCAACAAACCGCGTCTAATCAGTTCGTTCTGTTTTATTGTTTTTGTGTTCTATGAAATCGCGAAGGTTGCTACAAGTTTCCATTTTCCCATCGCATGACTTATTTTAGTGTAAGACAAAGTTTCAGAATCACCCTTACGCTCAATTGGGTATGTATGTCACCGGCAATGTGTTCGACATTGCAGCATAAATTAGAGGTCAAATACAATGCAATAGGATAAGCCATGTGATGAAGAGTAGAGACTCATGCAGCTTCTTCAAAATGAACTGATCAGAGGAGGTTTAGTGCTGATAAGCTTTGTTTTGGAGTAGCTGAGCAGCAGGAGCACGATTGAAGTGCCTCGTTCTGTTATGATTCATCTGGGAAAGTTGTTATTTAAAGGCAAAAGTTCGGGCTCAGACCCACTTAATGAGCCTTTACGGTGGCTAGAAGCGCTAGGCACGCAAGTGTATGGGTCGCGTCACTTCCCTACTTCGAAAACCGTTATTTAGACGCTAGGCTCTAAGAACTTTGACACGCTCCACCTGCTGCGACACGCTCCGCCCACCGCTCGATATCTTGACTGCGTCGGAATATTGATCTGCTATGCTCTCTCTACTTAGACTTCTCTAGCGCTCTCCGCGCTCACACATTATCTCTCATCTCCCTGCCGGCCTTTTGAACTTCTCCGCACCGTAGAGGAAATGGCTCGTATTTCCTAAGCATTTCACGATTTCTTTTTCTCTTTTCTGCACTGGCGGTCCACTACCTACCCCTACTTTCACATTTGAAGTGGAATTAACTCATAATTCAATCCTGAATCTTGCCTTTAAGAAAATTAGGTGACCAAAAATTGACTAATTCAAAT